CCCGCACGTGTCCACCGGAATGTCAGGGACTCCGTCTCTAGGACAACAAAAACTCGGGGAGCTCGAATGTGAGACGTGGTTTCTGACCAAGGACACACACCTCATCCAAGTGGCTAGCTACGGGACGCGTGGCAATCTTTTCGTAGCGAGGCGTGACACACCTGAACCCAATCTGAAAGGAACCACCCTCCATCCGTGTAGATGTTTGGAACTTGGGGTGAGCACCTCGCTACTAAGAGCGTGTGACTCCACAGTAGGACGGAAGGGATCGCCAAGCCCCAGGGACACGACTAACGGCGGCGGTACGGGAGGGGGAGCTGACCCACCATCAAAGACGTTACGAATCCAAGGAATAAAAAAACAGGAAAACTATACGCAGACGCGGTGCCCCAAGACGGCCCCCAGAGCGCTCCAAGAGCGCTCCAAGAGCGCCCAAGAGGCTCCAAGGGCTCCCGAGGGGCGACCCTGATTGAAGCTCCCCTCTTTTTTGATTGATGTCCTCCAAGATGGTCCCAAGAGCGCCCCTGAAGCTCCCAAGAGCGCCCCAAGAGGGCCCCAAGAGGCTCCCAAGAGGCTCCCAAGAGACCCCCAGGAGGCCTCAAGAGGATGCCCCAGGTACCCAAGACGCTCAAAAGAAGGCCCTGTGGACCCCCAAAGATGGAAAGGCCCCTGGGCCTCTTCAGGGCCCAAGAAGGCTTCAAGACGGCTCAGGATGGCCTCAAGACGGCTCAAGATGGCCCCGAGGATGGCCTCAAGAGGGCCCAAGATGGACCCAAGATGGCCCAAGATGGCCCCCAAGACGGCCCAGAATGTCCCCAAGACGGCCCCAGAGGGCCCACGAGTGCCCTCAAGAGCGCCTCCACAGGCCAAAAACAAGTGATGTTCCTTTGGTTGTTGGTGAATGTTAGCGTTCTCGCCTTTTTCGACTCTCGGGGGCACATGACATCCCAAGCAGCCCCCAAGATCGCCCCAAGACGGCCCCAGAGCCATCAAAGAGGGCCCCAATACTGCCCAAGAGGGCTCCAAGACGGCCAAAAGAGGCCCCCAAGACGGTCCAAGAGGCCTCCAAGACGGCCCAAGAGCACCCCAACAAAGCCCCAAGGCCGCCCGAGGGGCCCCCAAGGCAGCCTCCCAAGAAGCCTGACGGCGCAAGAGCGCCCCAACACAACCCAAGACGCCCCCTAAGAGGCCCCTAAAAGGCCCCCAAGGACCCCAACGCGCCCCGAAGAGGCCTCCAAGAGGCCCCCGAGAAGCTCCCAGGAGGCCCCCCATAACGACTGGACTGCACGTGCTCCAGACGTGCACCCCTACAAACGAGAGGAACCAGCTCATCCGGGAAGCCCTCGGGGTCTGGGGACTTAGCAAAACATGAGATTCCCGCTCACGCGAAACCATTGCAGGTTGCACGCATGTGGGCCCGCTCGCGGCAGACTGGCCAAGCGCTGCGCAGAATCGAACTGCAAGCAAACACATCGGCACCCGCGGTGGGCGCCTGCCTCGCCATGGACCTGGCACATAACATGCGTCTCCTGTTTGGAGGTCCTGGGGGCCCAACGGTGGGCCTGAATCTGGGCTGCGTGCACATTCAAAAAAAAAACGCCGTCCGCGGCGACCTCTTCTCGTGTTTGCTTTGCTCTGAGTGTGGGACATAAGCCAGCGTGGGCCTTACGGAAGAGGGAGGCGAGCAACAGGTGGATTGGTGGACCGGCTCTCGCACCTGGTTTCCCGGGCGCCTCTCGGCGCCAGGGGTGCCAGTGTATCGACGAATGCGCTACACTGCGGGGCCGAAGCCAACTGCACACGGCAGATTTCGTACAGGCATCGTGCTACCAGAAGGAACGCCGATTAAGGACCTAAGAGGCTTCCTGAGGCCACGGCGAGCCTCGTCCACAAACATGTTCCGCTGCCTGAACAGTGCCCCGAAAACCAGAGAGCAGCATTTCCTGGAGACCGAGCCCTCCAGAGAGGCCTCGGTGACCTCAGGCGAAGAGACACCCCGCCAGCCCTGGTGTCCAAGAAAGCGACGTCTGAGGCCAGCTACACTGGGAACCCAGACAGTGCTGCCAAGCGGGGCCGATGTAGACAGAACGAGCATACGGCGCTTCGGATGATTGCACGCGCCCCCACCGTCACCACCACGAGACGCAGACCAAAGAGCCAGGAGGGGGAGGGTGGGCAGTTGAACGTGGAATGGGGAGGGAAAGGAAGGGGAGCGGCACTGGGTACGTGTAGGACAGGGGCGAAGAGGTGACTGGGACGGGGTTGACTTGGCGCAACCATGAGATCCGACCTTTCGAGGTGTGCTTCACCGCCGAGGAAGACTTAGTCTCCGCGCAGCGGAAGGTATAACATCTTCAAAACGCATCCTCCTCCGCCTCCTCTGCAAACAGGCCTCAATCCAAATCGGCAAAGAGCTGTTGATCCTTCGCTGCAGGCTGCTCTGTGGCCGCCTTGCTATCCTTGAACTCATCCAGCAAGGCATCGAAATCGTCGTCCTTTGCGGGGGACGCGGCTACAGCTGCAAAAGCCTCTGCCCAACGGCGTACGCGAACACCTTCTGAATATTCTCTGGGGGGCCAAAAGATATCGATATCAACACTCTGGCGCGACGCCCACCATGTTCGAGCGGTAATCTTGAGCAAGTTTGAACCGCACCAAAATGTACAATTTCGCTCTTGAAGCGAACCCTGACTCACCCCACAAACAATCACTCGGCCAAGACTTAACACACAGACCCCCGTGCAAGCGCAGGCTGCGACGAGATCTCAAAACAGCATGGCACCCTTCCAAGCCCGAGCAGTAGAACTAGGCAAGCGCAACTCTTATGCATCGAAACCTGTTTGTGGGGACCGCGCGGATATAATGAATCAGCGCTGGACTCCCCTCCCTGGCATGGAGCGCGCCAGAGGCGGCGCGAGAGGCGCCGCCAAGTGGGTTCGGAGCCGACCCAAGAAACCCGTGGGGACCTCCGACAGTTTCTGCTTATGCAGATGTCTCCTCGATGACAGCGGTCAACTCCTGCTCGCTCTTGCTTTCCCCGCACCCCCCCCCCCTTGAGAGGCGTTTTCCGCTCTTGAGAGGCCACGGGAGCCCTCGTGGCACACGTCTGCCATCATCCCGGCCTGGCTGTCTGGCGCCGTGGCTTGTCAGCGATCTGTAAATTCCAACATTGAGCCACAGGCCTACCGTAGGAAAATAATAAGAACACTAACAAGAGCAATAATCACAATCATACGAATACGAAGAAGAAGGATCCAACACTACGAAGAGTAATAACAATACGAGTGCTCGGCTTTAAACAAATACTAATGAAGTTCATATCAAAAAAATACGAACAACAATAACTCGTCCTCCTCCTCCTCCGCTCCTCCCCCTCCTCCTCCACCTCCTCCTCCTCCTTCTCCTCCTCCTCCTCCTCCTCATCTGCATCATCATCAGCATCATCATAACCAGCACCCATTATCACAACCATCATCTTTGTGTGCTTCATCACCATACTTACTATACGTATTATCATCAGCATCATCATCAGCAGCAGCATCAACAGCATCGTCATCATCACCACCACCATCATCATCACCATCAGCATCAGCAGCATCATCGTCATCATCATACGCATCAACATCGTCGTTATCATCATCATCGGCATCGGCATCGGCATCGGCATCAGCATCGTCATCGCCATCGTCACCGTCACCGTCATCGTCATTGTCATCATCAGCATCAGCATCATCACCAGCATCATCACCATCATCATACTCATCGGCATCATCCTCACATGCATCATGGCATGCGTCATCGTCATAACCATTATTCACTGCGTGGAGCTCCCCATATGTGCATCTACTCGCATGGACATGTCCGCCGTGAATGTCTAGGCGCAAGAGCTTTCGAATATTAACGGGCTTCAGTTGTGACGGTCTGGACATCAATCTAACTGCGAATGAATTGGAGTGTGAATGAGCCTCAGTAGTACGAGCGCGTCTCTGTGCATGAGCCTGGGGCCTCCTGGGGCCTCCTGAAACCTACTGGGGCTTCCTGGGGTCTCCAGGAGCCTCTTGGGACCTCCTGGGACCTCCTAGGAAGGTTTCGTGCCCCAGGAGAGGCGCAATCTATAGCAACAGACGTACATAAAACATTGCGGATTAGAGCCACAGGAGAAGGGCAATCTATAGGAACACGCGTAAAACACCAAGGACTCGTGCCCCAGGAGAGGCCCAATCTATAGGAACATGAGTAAAACATTTAGGATTGTGTACACAGGAGAAGGACCATCTATAGAAACATACGTAGAACATCAAAGAATCGTGCTCCAGGTGAGGCCCAATCGATAGGAGCATACGTAAAACACATGGGATTGGAGCCACTCCTGTTGCCTTCTGAGGCCTCCTGCTCCTGGGGCCTCTCGGGGCCTCCTGTTGCCTTCCGAGGCCTCCTGGCGCTTCCTGTTGCCTCCTGGGGCCTCCTGTGGTTTCCTGAGGCCTTCTGGAGCTTCCTGGGGCCTCCTGGAGCCTCTTGGGACATCCTGTGGCCTCTTGAGTCTTTCTGTGGCCTCCTGATGCCTCCTGGGACCTCATGTGGTCTCCTGGGGCCTCCTGGAGCCTGCTGGAGCCTCCTGTGGCATCCTGAGAAGAATCTGCGTCCACGAGCCTGGCCACCAAAACAAGCAAACCGATCGAGACATCCTCAAAATCTGGCCCACCTGGGGGGGGGAAATGAGCGCCTCGCTCGAGACATCCTCCAAATCTGCTCCGAACGCGAAGGATGTTGAGCCAAGACACAAGCAAACCGCCTGAGACATCCCCACAAAATGGCAGCGAACGAGCCCGTGAAACCACCCCTGGTGGCTCCCCTTAGGGCCACGAGCCTGGCCACCAAAACAAGCAAACCGATCGAGACATCCTCAAAATCTGGCCCACCTGGGGGTGAAAATGAGCGCCTCGCTCGAGACATCCTCCAAATCTGTTCCGAAAGCGAAGGATGTTGAGCCCAGAAACAAGCAAACCGCCTGAGACATCCCCACAACATGGCCGCGAACGAGCCCGTGCAACCACCCCTGGCGGCTCCCCTTAGGGGTGCTGAAACCAGCGCCCCGCCTGAGACATCCTCACAATCTGCTCTCCAAGCGAAGGATGTTGAGCCCAGAAACAAGCAAACCGCCTGAGACATCCCCACAAAATGGCCGCGAACGAGCCCGTGCAACCACCCCTGGCGGCTCCCCTTAGGGGTGCTGAAACCAGCGCCCCGCTTGAGACATCCTCCAAATCTGATGTGTGTTGAGTAAGTCTGAGTATGAGTAGGTCTGAGTATGAGTATGCCTGAGTATGAGTAAGTCTGTGTATGAGTAAGTCTGTGTATGAGTAAGTCTGGGTATGAGTAGGTCTGTGTATGAGAAAGTCTGTGTATGTGTACGTCTGGGTATGAGTAAGTCTGAGTATGACTAATACTGTGTAAGAGTAAGTCTGGGTATGAGTGAATATGTGTATGAGTACGTCTGGGTGTGAGTAGTATGAGTAAGTCTGTGTATGAGCAAGTGTGAGTATGAGTATATAAGTCCGACAGGAGGGGAGGAGAAAAGAGGAGGAGGGAGAAGGAGGAGTAGGAGGCGTCCAAGTAATAACAAGAACCCCATCTTAGGATATGGGGAATAATCGCTATCATCACAACCATCATCACCATCAGTCCCATCCTCTGCATCAGCCTCGGGAGCATCATCGTCATAATCGACATCACCATCATCACCATCATCATCAGCATCATCATCACCATCAACAGCATCATCATCACCATCATCGTCGTCACAAACCTCACCACCATGACCGCCATCGTCCTCATCATTCTCAGCCTCCTCCACAACCGCGTGCTCATCATCACCATCACCACCACCACCAGCAATATCACCATCAGCATCATCAGCATCAGCATGCTCGTGCTCATGATGACGAGCATGATGATGAGCATCATCACCACCACCATCACCAGTATCATCATCAGCATCATCTTCATCCCCCTCATAATCATCATCATCATCACCATCGTCATCAGCATCGTCATCCTCATCAGCATCATCATGGCCATATCCATCAAAAGCACCATCAGCATCTTCATCATCATCAGATTCATCATCGTCACCATCATTACCACCATCATCATCACCACCATGGCCACCATCATCATCAACCTCACCATCATCACCACCACCACAATCATCAGTATCACCACTCATCACCATCGTCATCACCGTCATCATCATCATCATCAGCATCACCACCATCAGTATCATCACCACCAGCACCATCATCATCATCATCATCATCATCAGCAGCAGCAGCAGCAGCTGCATCAGCATCGGCATCATCGTCATCATCCTCATCCTCATCCTCATCATCCTCATCCTCATCCTCATCCTCATCCTCACCATCATCCTCATCCTCATCCTGAACATTAGCATCATCATCATCAGCAGCATCATCATCAGCATCATCATCAGCATCATCATCATCCTTCTCACTCGCTTTCCTAATTATGACCCCTCTCAGCTTCCGTCTCGTCCTCATCGTCCATCTCATCGTCCACCTCTGCGCGCCCCCGCGCGCGCGGCAGCGCGCCGGGGGGGAGTGGAGCTGGGCGTTTTGGTGCCGCCGTCCTCGGGCTCGGCCTTACCGGCTTTGCCCTTCTTTCCCTTCTTCGCCTGCGCGGCATGGAGTGGAGAGGCCACTGCCACAGCTCGCCAGCCTCGCTCGACGACGGGGCCAAGGAGAGGTGCTGGAGCATCCACACACGCCTGGGCCTCGAGCACCAGAGGTTACAGGACAGTGAGCAGGAGGGGGAGGAGGAGGAGGAGGAGGAGGAGGAGGAGGAGGAGGAGGAGGAGGAGGAGGAGGAGGAGAAGGAGGAGGAGGAGGGGGAGGAGGAGGAGGAGGGGGAGGAGGAGGAGGAGGAGGAGGAGGAGGAGGAGGGGGCGGCACCATCCAGCCTGGGGGCACCGAGGAGAGGGGGGTCCCCGGACCTCCGCCGCCTTGGTTTGGTTTTGCAGAACGTGGCTCCCTGAGGTCTGGGCTCCCCCTCCTAGGGACGAACTCCTCGCTCCGATCCTTATTTTGTTACGGCGCGGGGGCCCCGTGAGGGCCAAGGGAGGCAGAGAAAGCGGCGAAGCACTTCCGCAAGTACTCTTTCAGGACGTTGGAGATCCGGGGAGGGCCCTCCCGTACTCTCCTTCCCCCCCCCACCAGGTCGCGCTGGCCCAGCCCGGGCCCAGAATGAGGCGGCCCTCTGGCGGGCTCTTTGGCGGCAGGACCGGGCCAGGCTCGCACGCCTGGGCCGAGGAGGAGGAGGAGGGTGGGGTGGGGTTGGGTCGGGTTGGCATCGGCCACGCTGCCACTCTATGTCTTCCACAGCGATCGTCGATGAGAAAACTGGGGTCCCGTGCTGCGCGTGCGCGGAGATCGGGTGAGGAGGCCGAGAGGGAGAGAGCGGGACGTGGGAGGAGGAGGCATGGAGGGGGTGGCGGAGGGTGGAAGGGGGGGGGAAGGGGAAGGGATGGTGGAGGAGGGAGCGGCACGGGAGGGGAGAGCGGAGTGGGGTTGGGGTGGGGGAGGGGCAGAGGGAGCAGGAGGATGAACCTGGGAGGCAAGGGGCGAGAGGGAGGGGGGGAGGGCCCAGAGGGAAGGGGCTGGCAGCTCTGGAGGACAGCGGGCCCGACGAGCTCGGCCTCGAGCGTAGGGCGCTCCTGCGCCCAGAGGCACGGGGTGCCGCGCGTCATGTCGCTGACGCACCAGGTTCACCAAGCAGAGACATCTCTCTGCTCCCTCCTCCTCCTCCTCCTCCTCCCTCCTCCTCCCTCCTCCCTCCTCCCTCCTCCCTCCTCCCTCCTCCCTCCTCCCTCCTCCCTCCTCCCTCCTCCTCCTCCTCCTCCTCCACCTCCTCCCTCCTGCCCTATACCTTTTCCTTACTGGCAGCTCCTCCCCGTCGCACCCCCAGACGTGTTGGTAGGGCGGGCTGGGCGTTTCGCCCGAGACGTCCTCACCCCTGATGATCCTGAGGCTTGAAATGTGGAAAAGTGTTGCGGATACGGGGCGGGCCGATGTCAAAATATGGCGCTCGCCTCTGCGCCGCGCACATCCGTCTTAAAAGTTTGCAACCGGTGCAGAGATACAGGACGGGCCGTTTTCAAAAGGTGGTCATTACCTTAGCACCGCGCACGCTCGCCGTAAAACAGTGCAACAGCTTCAAAAATGGAGAGCGGATCCTTTTCAATATTTCTGGCTCTTGCATCAGCACTGCTTATACTCACATTAAAAGCTTGCAGCAGGTTCATAGATGCAGGGCGGGTCGTATTCAAAAGGTTCCTATCGCTCTAGCGCCGAGCACAGACGTCCTCAACTTGTGCAGCAAGGTCATGGATGGAGGGCGGCTCCCTGTCAAAATGTGGCTCTCGCCATGGCGCCGCGCGCACTCGTCTGCAAAGCCTGCAGCATGTTCAAGGACTCGTATGGTCGACGTCCCAGGATTCGCGTCCTGGTACGAGGAAGAGGAGGAGGAGGAGGAGGAGGAGGAGGAGGAGGAGGGGGAGGAGGAGGAGGACGAGGAGGAGGAGAAGGAGGAGGAGGAGGAGGAGGAGGTTAGGGTCGTCAGGACGCAACAGTAGCGCTGATTCGCGTCGTTGAAGTCCAGACGGGGGAGGGCGATCGGGATTCTCCGACGGGTGCCTTCCGCTGGGGCAGTTCCCGCAGTGGAGTTCCATTAGTATAGGGACCTTTGAGGAGGTAGCTTTGACTGGGGGGTGTTGCAACATCGCTGATGCGTCTCACTGGTCCTCCTCCTAATTATTCCTTGGCCTATTCCTTCTTCTCCTCCTCCTCCTCCTGCTCGTCCTTATCCTCCCATTCTCCCCGCTCCTCTCTCCCTCCCCCTTCCCCTCGCCAGTCTTCTTCTCCCCATCCCCTCGCCCTCGCCTCCCCCTCCTCGTCCTCCTCCACCACCACCCCAAGCCCACCTCCTCCTCCTCCTCCTCCTCCTCCTCCTCCTCCTCCTCCTCCTCCTCGCTCCTCCTCGCTCCTCCTCCCCTGTGACCCCTCGCGCCCGCGGGGCCCATGGCCCCGTGTTCGCTTGCGGCTCGCGGTGCCCCTCGGATGGCCAGGGTGGGGCGCGACCGCGCACTTCCGCTGCAGATTACCCTCGGGTCGGGCATGTTCTCCTACAGGCGGATTTCGGAAGATGAATGAACAAAATTGTGAAACTCAAAAACAACACAGAATTAATCGGAAAACGTCCCCAGACTAGGTGTTGGCTATTTTTGCCTACTCCTCCTGTGGAGGGGGCATGCCCGACTTGAGGTTGCCAGCGTCCTTGCGCCGCGTCACCGTCGAGAAGGTGGCCACAGGAGCGCCGGTCGAGAAGGTGAGCCCCCTCGCCGAGGGCCCCATGCCACACGGAGATGCCACAAGTCAGGGAGCCCACAAAGGACGTACGCGCCCAGCCATGTACATGAACGCGGCCCCTCGATCCGCGAGGCTGGCCGCATGGTAGGAACATTGAGGCAACGCGTACTCTCGAGACCAGCGTGGATTCATGTACGTGTACATCCTTCTTTCGCTCCTGACAAGTGAGTGAAGAGTGCTCCGAGGTGGAGAGCCCATGGAGAGAACATATGTGTGGGTCGGGCATGCGCTCTTACAGGCCAATTTTGGAGGACAAATCCAACAGATGCCAAATATATTCAAAAAGGATCAAACATAGTCGTAACATCGTCCCCATACTATTGTTTGACTATATATATACATATATATGACTCTTCCTCCTACAGAGGGATAGGCCCGACTTAATGCAAGCCACATGGGTGCACTCCTCCACGGTTCGTCTACAGCTAACCTGTGTGAGTCGAATGGCCAGGCCGAGCTCAAGACACCAGAGAGGCGGAGGCAGGACCCGCCGGCGCCTTGTCCTTTGATGCCTGCTCATCCTTCTTTGCTTTCGCAGCCTCCTCCGCGGCCTTCGCTGCCTGAAGGGTGAGCAAGCCGCGCAAATACACATTGTCTGTCATGTCCCATCCGTGCACTCCTTCCCAAAACTTCGACCTGCCAGTTTTCATGCCCCCTTCCTCGCATTCGCCCGCCCTCTGTTTGTTCCACTCTGTTGTGTCGCGCCCGCGGGCTACCTTCGCCTCCTCCATGCATCTCCGTGCCCTTGCATTGCCCATCTTCCTCTGGCCCTGCCTCTTCCGAACCTGGGAGAACAAATGCATACCGATGCCGCCACTGCACTACGCAAGTGCATCATGCGGATGCGTCCTGGCTGAACCCGAAGCGAATCCACCCGCGGCGACTAGAGAAATCCCCGAGACATCCAAAAAGGCGATAGCACGTCGAATCGAAACTGCAGAAGCATTCGCTTCCAGAGGCTCGCGAGGATGTCTTGGGCTGGCGCTGGACCCCCGACTCCCTGGCGTGCGCAGCGCGCTGCGGGCAGCGCCACAAGTGCATCCAGAGGAGCACCAGCGCCGGCCCAAGAGATCCGCGAGGACCACCGAAAGCGTACTTGTGTTTACGCTGCCTTCGATATGGGAATGTTTGTTTACCGCTGCCGTTGACCATACATTGGGGGAATTGGGAAGCCATGCTGGGGCCCACCTGACATGAGCGCGCTGATCATCTGGCCGAATGCGGTGCCAACTTGTCATCGCTGGGCGAACCTCTCGGGTCGATCACATTGGACCCGCGGTACCGTGTCGGAGGATTGCTCAATGTCTTGAGCAGGGACCGACCGTCCCGGCATTCCTACAGGCCCAGCCCGACATGTTTTAGAATCCAATGCTCAAAACAAGGATTTGTTTATAAGATAAGCACGATGCTTTGAAACAAGACAGCCCCAGCCAGAAATGTTCTAATTGAAATCTCGCGCAAACCACAAGCGGTTCTTAGAACACTCTTTGGTGAGCCTAAAAGCGAGCCACAACGCTTCGCCACTGCTTGAATGTCAACGATGAGCTGGATGAACTTGGAGTCGCTGCAGGGGGCAGCCACGCCTCGCACTAGCAGGCAAGACGCCGCATCAGCGCGAGCGCGCGCCCCGCCCGCCCCCAGAGCCAGCCAAGACCGATCCAGCTGGGGGGCCCAGGCCGCACAAGGCGAGCCTTCGCCCGCGGCTGGCGTCAAGAAGGCGCTTCTCGGCTGCACGTAAGAGCGACCCTGGGCAAGAGTGACCTCTGGTGCGCGGTTTTCTGGTGCGCGAGGAGGCCAAAACACAAGCGCGCAAGACGCTACCATCGCACCGAACGCGGCGATCGGGGGACCCCAGTGCGCGCGCACCCAAAGGTCACTCCCGCGAAACGTCACTCGGACAGAACCTCCTTTCGTAAAACATGGTTTAGTGAAAACGGCCTCGGGCCCAAACCTGGCGGGCGCAAGCGCAGAAAATGACGGCCGCGGCGCCCTCTCGAGAACTGGAAACGGACAATTCACTAATCGACGTGTCAGGGTGGGGGTTGTGTCGAACCCCCGAGCACTAGCGCAATGGGCCGAAAACTATCGCAGAGCCAGTTTGCTTTATGGCACTCATGGCACTTGGCCAAACGCCGATCGGCGCTAAAAAACAGAGGGATTGGTTTGGAGAAGGACCCAACAAGATGCAGCTGCGAGCACAGCGAGGAATGTGAGGAGGAGGAGGAGGAGGAGGACGGGGGCCAGCGCAAGGGCCGCGGCGTTGATGGGAAGAGAACGGCGGGCACGGGCTCGACGGGGGATGTTTTGTTTAGCCCGAGCCCCGAGCGCAGCCGCTTCGTGCTCATTTCCTTCCCAGCTCTCTTTCGCTCCCTCTTGTTTCCGTGGTGCGTTGCGTCCCTGTCCGGCCAGCCCGGAATGGCCCGAACCCCAGGACCCGCATTTTCGGGGTTCATGTCCATCCTTCTTTGTCCTTGCGCCATGGCGTCCGCGGCTCTGGGCAGAGCGCAGCGCGGAGCCCCCGCGACGCGCGCCAGTCGCATCGAGGGAGCCCCAGCGCCGAGCGCGGGTCGTCGCGGCACAGACAAAAAAAAACTGGCGGCAAACAACGCGCGGATCGCTGGGAGGAGCGCGCACGGGAGTCTGGCAGCTCTTCGAGGCAGGGCGCAGGGGGGTCCCCGCGAAGCCCGCCGGTCGTGCCAAGAGGTTCGAGCGATAAGCGGGTTGTCCGCACCGCAAGGCCTAGCAGTTGGACAGTCGAGAGAATGTCCGGCTTGGGCGGGCAGCTCCTCGCGGCAGCCCTCGCGGATAAACTCGTTATTAAAGCCCAGCTCCTTGGCGAGGGCCTCCGGTGAAGCTCAACTGGGGCCCACGAAAGGTGCGCGAGGTGTGCCGCAATGGGTTCGGGCGGCGCGCGTGGGCCCTGCCACTGGGGCCTTGGGTGGAGCCCCGTATGGGGCCACGAAGCGCGTGAGGGGGGTGCCCACATGGGTGCGGGTGACGCACGTGAACCCTCGGAGGAGCTCCTCATGGGAACACGAAGCGCGTGGGGGGCGTGCCGAACAAGGTGCGGGTGGGCGTGGACCTAGCCGTTGGGGCCGTCGGTGGAGCTTCTTTATGGGGCCACGAAGCGTGCAAGCGGTACGCCGACGTGGGTGTGGGTAACGCACGTGGGCCCTCCCAGTGGAGCTCCCTATGGGGCCACCCAACGTGCGGGGGGTGTTTGGGCCTTCCCGCTGGGGCCTTCGGTGGGGCTCCCTATGGGGCCGCGAAACACGTGAGGGGACGGAATGGTTGCGCGTGACGCACGTGGACCCTGCCGCTGGGGCCTTCGGTGGGGCTCCCTATGGGGCCGCGAAACGCGTGAGGGGACGGAATGGTTGCGCGTGACGCACGTGGACCCTGCCGCTGAGGCCTTCGGTGGAACTCCCTATGGGGCCACGAAGCGTGGGAAAGATGTACCGAACTGGGTCTTGGTGACGCATGTAGGCCCTGCCGCTGGGGCCTTCGGTGGGCTACCCATGGGGCCACGAAGCGCGGGAGCGGTGTGCCGAAATGCGTGTGCGTGACGCGCGTGGGCCCTGCCGCTGAGGCCTTCGGTGGAGCGCCCTATGGGGTCGCGAAAGGTGTGAGGGGTGCGCCGAAACAGGTTCGGGCGACGCGCGTGGACCCTGCCGCTGGGGCCTTCGGTAGAGCTCCGTATGGGGCCACAAAGCGTGTAAGGGGGATGCCCACATGGGTGCGGGTGGCGCATGTGGACCCTTCCACTGGAACCTTCGGTGGAGCTCCCGATGGGGCCACGAAGCGCGCGGGGGGGCGTGGTGTGCCGAACAAGGTGCGGGTGACGCATGTGGACTCTGCCGCTGGGGCCTCCGGTGGAGCTCCCCACGGAGCCGCGAAATGCGCAGGGGGTGGGCGCCGAAAAAAAAACATGCTGAGGGCAGATGCAAGGGATGCGAGGAGGAGGGCGAGAAGCGCGACGCAGGGCGCTGTCTCTCCAAAGCGAGGGCCTAACGCCGCAGGATGGCTTGAAAGACAAAGGTTTTGAGCACAGCAAGGCGTAGTGCCTCGGACGAACAATGTCAGCGGCAAGTTGCAGTGTTCTCAGGGAGGCGCTTGGCAGCACCGCGCAACGTCTGGATGCCCATAGGTGGCCGGCGTGGTCCGTGTCGGTGCAACTCCGCCAGTGCGCGCAAGGCTCCATCAGCCGGCGCATCGCTCAGGTTGGAGTAGCAACCCAAGCGGGCGGCATCCTCAGCGCCCCACAGCTTGGCCCGAATCTCAAGGGTTGCGCCTCGCTGACGCTAGATGCGGGGCTAGCATGGCCGACCGACGCGTCTGCGACGGAGAGGCTGAAGCTGCCAGGCTCGGCCCGCCCGTGCATGTGCTCGGCCTGGGATTAGGTCGGGACTGTCTCCCTGCAGGGGGATCTCTGGCGAAAAATTGCAGATACAAAAGCAATGCTCCAAAAATGCTCCACGATAGACAAAATAAATCGTCCCCAGACGATGTTTAACAGACGATGTTTAAACTATGTTTGTATGTTCCCCCTGTAGAGAGGGACAGGCCCGACTTCGGCCTGGGACACCGTGGCGCCGCGAGCCCGCGGGCGGACCTCGGCCCCTCGGGAGCGGCGCCCTTCGGCCCTCTGCGTGGTCGGCCCTCCGCTCCAGCCGCGCAGGGCCGTCGGGCTCCACGCGCCCCCCCCCCCCCCCCTGGGCCCGCCCCGCCACTGGCGCTCGCGATTGGCGGAGGAGGAGGAGGAGGAGGGGGAGGAGGAGGAGGAGGAGGAGGAGGAGGAGGAGGAGGAGGAGGAGGAGGAGGAGGAGGGAGGAGAGGAGCGGGAAGAGGAGGAGGAGGGGGAGGAGGAGGAGGAGGAGGAGGAGGAGGAGGATGAGGAGAGCATGCCTTTGATGTCCCAGGGTGTGCCCCGCCTAGAGGTGATGGGCCAGGACCTTGAAGGAGCCAGGTCCATGGCGTCGCGCCAGCGTTGGCCGCGCCCCTGCCCCACCCCCCTCCCCGCAGGGCTAACCAGCTCACGCTGGGCGCCGCGGGCGGTGTCAGACACCTGGCGCCTCGCGTGTCCCTTGGGACCCCCCAAACCAGGTGGTGAGATATCAGGTGGTGAGATGTCAGGTGGTGAGACATCAGGTGGTGAGATATCAGGTGGTGACCTGGAATCCCCCCCAAGGTACCGATGGGTTTGGGGACACGGGGCCACCGCCGGGGTTGTGACTCCTGGACCCACGAGAGTTCGTGGCATCGTCAAAAACCGCACGAGTCCCCAAACGGGGTGGTGACACCAAATCGCCAGAGACTCACCGCTGGGTGTTGTCACCGAAATTGCGGGACTACCGAATCTCGCCCGCTGGAGGAAGTATCCAATGGCCCCGGACTCCGCCCCGCGCTCCGTGGACGCCCTGTGGCAAGGACCCCCCCCCCCCGCTCCTCGCAGAGTATGGACAGGGGCGTCTCCATGACCTCGGAAATTGCTATCGAAACGTATGCTCTTCGCTGCCCAGGTCGAACAGGGGCATCAACTCCTCCTCGGCCCCGTCGGAGA